ACAAAGTCTCACAAGGGTTGTAAAACTCTTATATGAAAGATCTAAGAAAGATCATACAGGCTCTCCTTCTCTTCACTGCTCATTAAGATCTAATTTTGACCCAGTACTCATTTAAATAGTCACTTTCCAGGCAGATTCGTCGTGACTTTTAGAAAGTTTTTCTCATTCATGAGCCTGGTACCCAGACATATCTCTCCATTCCCTTTACCGGGTGGAAAATATGTGACCCTCCAGATAGGGCTTGGGAGTGCTGGGAGTTGTGATTCAGCAACATTTGAAGACCCATATATTTCTCTACCTTAACATACAGTAGAATGTAATTTTTCCTTGCATTTTTGCTTGTTTACAATTATACTTCTTGCTGTTGTAAGTTCAACATCTTTCTGTATGCTGCTGAATCACCTGAAGGTCAACAAGGTCTGTGTCAACAGAGTCAAAAACACTTCAAACTAGTTCATAATGTACTCAACACAGAACCCTTGGTCCTTTGCAACTATGTCATATGCACTTTACAAGGAACATGTACTGGATTTCTCATAGTTCAATTAAACGATCATTAAAAAGGCCATAGTGATAATTGCTTCAGATAATTTCCAAACATCAAGGAGTTTTTCAGCTATTCCAAATAAAAAGAGAGTTAAAGGTCTCAATTATTTTGCTTACACATTTCAATGAATACTAATGTGTATACAACAAGATAGTCGGTGTTGCTTGTTTTCAAAATGAGGACCACAAAAAAATTAAATTTCTCTGTGGAATTTGGGGGAATATCAGGTTCCTAAAAAGGGGGTGAAATCATCTCCTGCAAAGTTACACGCATATCTTTTATGTGTTTTCTTCTATTCTTGCAGTAACCAAATATTAACAAGCAGAATAAATGGTTCATTGTTTTCAGGTTTCTTCTCCTCTTCAAAAGACTGTTACTTACATTGGGAAGGTATTTCCATGATTTCCAATATGAATGTTGCTCCAGCCTCTTCCCCTTTAGCCTTAGTCCCTTTTCTGCTAAGGGGATTCTCTGTTCTCTAGCTCTTTTGCATGTAGAATTTATTTACTGACCTAGTACAGTGATCTGATAATGAAGCACAGGAGAAAACAAGACCACAAAGGAAGTGAAACCAATAGCAAATCTTGCTTTTACTAAAGTTCCTTTTTAAGACAATCATTTTTAAAGTTAGTGTGAAGTGATATGGGGCGGGGGGAGAGAAAGACCCTAAGTGTAAAGATCAATAGGACATTCAAATAATGTAAACTTAGTCAAAGCTGTTTTCATAGTCAGCTAGTACTTAGCATTAAAGCACCTTTGTTCCTGGAATCTGCATCCAACTGGACCCAGTGACACCAATTTTAAAAGGAAGTCAGGAGAACATCTAGTAAATCATAGGCCACTCAGCTTAACATTTATTTGGGGCAAGTTGTTGGAAACAGTACTCAAGAAAAAAATAAAACTGAGCAACAAATCTTGCTGAAGGTATATCAGCATGGATTTGGCAAAGGAAAATCTTGCCTTGGTATGCACTTAGATGAAGGTGACCCTGTCACCACTGTATACCTGGATTTCCAAATATTCCTATCAGAGGCTTTTGTACCAACAAGACCTATCATTTGATGGATTGCTAAGTTGTTAAAAAACAGGAACCAAAGAGAAGGAATAAATGGGCAGTTTTTTCAGTGAAGGGAAGCAAGAAGTGGAGTCTTCTAGGAATATGTGTTGGGTCTGTGTTTTTTAGCTTGTAGATAATTACCTTGATGTAGGGATAAGCAGTGAGCTCTCCAGGTTTGCTGATATACCACAGTATTCAGGGTGAAAAAAAAATGATGGTGAAGGGCTCCATTATGATCTCTTTAAAGTAGATGAATGGTCACCTGAAGGACAAATGGAGTTCAATTTAAGTAAGTGAAAAGTGAATACACATCAGGGTAACACCCTTACTTCACAAATAATTAGTGGGGTTTGTGCTGTCTGAAACTAATTAGAAAGAAATTTAATGAAGATTTTATTAATTTTCTTTAGTAGTAGTTTAATGAAGATATGGATTCAGCATACCACTGTAGTGAAAAAGGCAAATTCCATCTAGGATGATTAGGAAGGGAACTGCAGATAAATCTGCCAGCACTGTAATACCCTTGTACCACTCTGTGGTACGTCTGTATCAGGAGTACTGTGGATCAACAATCAAATGTAGTTATCAACACTACCTTTGAAAAAGGATATATTGCAGATCTGGAAAATGTATAGAAGAAGTCAGCCAAAATGATTGGGGGATTCAAACACTTTCCCAAAAAGAAAAGACTAGATATTTGGGGCTGTCTAGCATGAAAAAGGTGACTGAGGAAAAAGGATCAGAGTATATACATTCATGGTGGAAACAAGCAGGAGAAGGTTTCTTTCTTTCTCTCTCAAAACACTATGACACTTCATTGAAACTAGCCAATTGGAAGGAGTTTTAGAACAGAAGAAAAGAAACCACTTGGGCATCTCCATGGAATGTATTATGAGATGTGATGATAGCCAGTAAGTTGGACAGCTTTAAAAGGGAATTAAGATTCAAAGAAGCCTCAGTGTTAGCTCTGTTTGAGGGTAATGTGCCTTCAAATACCAGTTGTAGAGGAACCATGGTAGAGGAGGATTAGAGGATTGGAGGAGGATAGAGCAGAATTCCTGATTGTGAGGACCCCAGAGGTTAGCCACTGTGAGAAACAGAATGCTGGATTAAAAGTGGCCTCAGCCTTATCCAAAAGGCCTATTGCTGTGAGCTTTCTGTTATTCTTTGCTTTCAACTGCCTTCAGGTGTAACTAGAAGGCACCAGGAGAAGATGAGAAGTTCATCAGACCTGCTGAAAAACAACTCCAGTTCTTCCTCCTCAAAATTCCACTTTGCTTTTTTCCTCACTTTTTGCTTTTTCAGTCATGACATTTAAAGTAGAAGCTTGAAGCAAGAATGCTCCTCCTTCTACACACACACATGCACACACAAATGAGAGGGGGGGGCTTCTCTATAGCTATGTCCACAAATATTGATGAGTGTTGATTAAACACAACACAAAAGGAAGCTCTCACCAACACATCAAGATTTATTTTCCTACCAGGCTTCAGCTTAGATACCTGAGCATTACTATGTATCACCATCCTGGATAGCGATGGATGGATGGATGGATGGATGGATGGATGGATGGATGGATGGATGGATGGATGGAAATGTAAGTTGTGGCTGTCTGTGTTTGTGTAGACATAGGAGTTTGCATAGTTTGGAAATAAAGGGAAAGGAAAAGAAGAGGAATATGGGATACTAATTCTTAATACTATTAGACAAGCAACAATAATGCAAGCAAACTGACCAATATTTTTTCATAAGTTATTAAATATAGTTTGTCTAAATTAGTATGTGTGTATAGTGTGTGTGTGTGTGTGTATTAGTATACAATTCCAAGGGAAACAGCAAACTCTAAAAATAACCAAATATGCATTATTCTGCTTAGTTGGATTACTTTGATGTGATATAAATTGTGATTTCTAGGGTTTTTTGGTTGAATAGATTCCTGGTGGTAGACTTTTATGTGCATTACATTTTTGCAAGCTTGTCCATCCATTGCTACCTCTAATGTATTCAATAACGCACATTCATTCTCCACTTGTTTCACTCAGGGGTTCTGTCTTCCCTGAACAAAACCAGAAATCATTCTTATCTTCTAATTTTAATACATGGAATTTAGTAGAACACCCTGACGGTGGGACTTAGAAGGTTCGTAAAACTTAAGGGACCAGCCTGCAGTAGTTTCCTTGAAGTCTGTCAGAAATACTGCTCTAATACAATAGGTATATTGGCAAATATGTCCTTGAGGATCAAACTGAATAGATTTCATAAAACAAAAATCTGAAAGCATCTGCTTTTTTATCACATGGTATTACAGCTGCATTTTCTTTAAAGAATGATTAGGGGAAAACCCTAAGCCATAGCTAATCTTGCTGCTTATTCACCTTCCTCCATCTGTCACAATCAGACCTTATTCCAACTGCCTTTCCAAACTGTACTCCCTCTCCCACATGTTTTCCTCTCTCTTCCTGGTCAGGAGAAATAATTTAACCCTCTAGTAACAGTCACCCATTGCAATATTACTGGGATAATTCTGCTTGTTTGATTTATTTCTGTTTCTTCTGCTCCTGGTTTTGTTTTTGTTTTAGATTGATGATTCAGAAAATAAGGTGATATATATTTTTGAACAATAATACTTTATGACAAAGCATAGTACGTTGATTAAAGATCCTCCTAGAAACTCCAAAAAGTTTCATTGGGCTTCCTTCTAATAATGTAAACCACAATTTCAGGATTAGGATGCCAAATTCAATCCCCAGTAGGCTTGGCACTACCTGTGCATAATTAGGGATTACTGTTCAACACAGATTTAAGAATCCTTTTCTTTAATTATTGTCACAGTGGCAGTTGCAAGATTTGTGAGCTGGTGCTTCTCTTAAGCACTTCCATAGTGAATGCATGTTCAGTCCACGGCCTCTTTATATTCCATCATCTGAGTGAATCCTAGTGGACTTAAAAATCAGTTAACATGAAGTTCCCAGACATACATTGCAAGATCAGTTAACCCATATGCTTGAACAGACATGGGTTTCCTTCTGATAGACTTCCAAACTCTGATTGAAAAAGCTCCTACTGAGAACATATTGTTGATAGATTTCACTGTTCTTTATTTTTAGCAGGAATGTAGCTGGGTATAAAAAATCTGCATTTTCAGAGTGACATTTGTGTGGGTTAAGGGGGATATATGCCCATTATATCTTCACACTTTTTTTGCTGTGCAGCATTGAGATAGATGTTGTGCGTTTCCTTTCTAAGAAACCCTCTTAACAGTTTGAATGTGTACATGTGTAAAAAAGAATTAAATATTGACAGAAAGAAAGAAGTGCAAAAGGTAAGATCACCCGGAGGTTCAATACTTTTTTAAATATATGTTTTTCTTTTTTCTTTTTTTTAACCACATTGCAGATCTCGCCTTGCAGATTTTTTCACAAACTGCCAGCCTGAGTCACGGTCTGTTAGTAGCTGCCTGAAAGAGAACTATGCTGACTGCCTCCTTGCTTACTCAGGGCTTATTGGTAAGGCTTATTTTGGGAAAGGATAATTTTCTTTATTATTTAAAATGTGCTTTGTTGATTGACATCAATATGGGAGAACAGAAAAATGAGAAAAACAAAATGTGTGCATATCTTGAAGACCCCCATTGAAAATAATCAGTCTGTGTTGGCCATGTAGAAACAATGCCTGGATGAAATGAGCTTTAAGAAGGCTTTTAAAAAAAATGGCTATTTTTTAAAAGTGAAGATCAGCTTAATTCTCCAAATTGTAATCACAAACATAAGCAAGGTAAGGTTGAAATGAACACAGACAGGAAAAAGGATGGCTTGGGACTGGAAAGGCCGCTATAGATGGAAGAAGGAAAGATACTACATACGTATACTATTTGCAAGAATTGTTTTTTATCCAACATTAATTCATGGTATCTTATCACAGCCTAGCAACTTATTACTTTGGAAGTGGCTAATTCAGTTTGGTCACATAATCTAACAAGGGAATATCATATAACTGGATCTTCTTTGAAAAATTGGATTAATTGATTTTTAAAATATAGGAGTATCCTTATCATTTTCTCCTGTAGCCTGATTTTGTGCATACAATGGGACCAATGTTATCTTTCTCTCAAGGCCATAGAATATCCCATTGCTTTGTGAAACCCACCTTTTCCAAACTGGATGACATTCAAATGCAGAAACCATCACTCCCCAAACTCTCAACCTTGGCCATGCTGACTAAAAATCCTGGGACCTGAAGTTCATACTTTGGGAACGCATCTCTATTTAGGAAGACTGCTCTAATGATGACTTCTCACAAGCATAGGTTCAAATAGTCTTGGTGTGACTTGCCTTTCTCATGCTAGGAGCTTTCACATCCATCAGAAATGCACAATGTAATGGGTCAACTAGAGTGCTGTTCTCACTGCAATAATCTGATTGTGTTATATGAAAGCAAGTCTTTTCAGCATTACAGAACGCTGAAAACTCTTAATTGTGCACAACTTCCTGCCATCTCACATGAGAGATTGACTGACAGCAATTATAGACTGCTTTGTCAGCAGAAATCCAGGAAAATTGGGATTCCCAGTCATGGGGATGCCTGTCTTCATATTTGGCAGAAAGTGGTTTCCCCTGGTCTTCCTGCTCAAACTAAGAGGATCTGGACTGGAAGGAGTGATGCCCAGTTAGAGCTTTTCTGTTTTCTGTATATAAATAGAAAAATTAATCAAGAATACACGTAACTAATATTAGCCTACATCCCTTTTTATAGCAAGCTTTTGAATTTCCTCCAGTCAATTTGGATGAATTTGTACATAGGTATAAAATTATTTCATTTACTTCTTGAGTAAATAAACAATTTTCTTAATAAATGGAATGAAGAATAAATTGTCTCTCTCTTTCCATCTTTCTGCTTGTAGATGACTTTGCTGGAAAAGTCATTATTGCCCTTATTGTTGCCCTTATTGAACAGTTTGGCACGTTTGTCATTTCCAGCAAAGACAAAACAGTCTTTTAAGATTCATTTCTTACATAACATTTAGTTCTATAATGCCACCTCTGCTTCAGTGACTTTCTTTCAGAGCAAGACCTTGGTTTGATGTTGTTTTGGCTTTCTAAGTGAAAAAGAGTCATCATGAGAAAGGGCATGTTTGGTGCATAACAGATGACAGAGTAAAAGCATATATGTATATGTGAATGAAATATTAGATGCAGATGACATAAAGGCCACATACTTGATTTGTTTCAAGTTCAGAGTCTGCACCTGTCATGAAACATTTCTGACTGCTCCTGGAAGGTGAGAAAACAACTCAGATTCCTATCCTGCAAATCTCCTCTGATGAGAGAGCACCTGAGGAAAACATGAGTAAAACAAGATATATTTGGGGTTTTTTTTTATAATACTTTTATTAAAGTTTATATATATAAAAATTAATACAGAACTAAAAAAACCTACGGAAGGGAAGGGGAAGGGGAAGGAAAGGAAAGGAAAGGAAAGGAAAGGAAAGGAAAGGAAAGGAAAGGAAAGGAAAGGAAAGGAAAGGAAAGGAAG